TGTTTGGCAGCGCAGCGCTCGGCGGGGGGCAGGGGTATTCGGCAGGGGGCGGGGGCTGTTTGGCGGCACGGCGCTTGGCGGGGGGGTTCAGCAGCGCGGCGGGAGGTGGGGGGTTTTCGGCGGCGCGGCGCTCGGGTGGGGGGGGGGTGTTACGGAGGGGTGGCGCTTTTTTTTTGCTGCTTGGGGCGGCAAAAAAGTTAGAGCCGGCCCTGTTCAGAAAACACTTTAGTAATTTACTGCTATGAAGCATTCAAGATTTGCCAGAGTTGCCTACTATGTTTACAGGGTCCAGAAGTGCAGCCCATTCTTTACAGATCTGCAACCCCATCCTGTGGAATTTATGAACTCTATGCCAATTACTTTGTTTCCATGCACACAGGTCTTGCCCACAGTGTTTTCAAGATCTTCAGGCTGTAAGCTCCATTCTGATAATTACAAACCACTTACTATAGTGGGATTTAGCACCTCAAATGGCCAGTCTATGTCCATGGATTTTGTAAATCCATTAGATATCTCTTTTAATGTTAAGTACATTCTCAGAGTTCCTTATTTTAGGATTTGTAAAGTTTACATGCTACTCCAGTAAACTGATAGCCTTCATACATTTAACGGCTCGGCGTTTAGAAACTCAGAAGGGAAGCTGATGTAGATAGCAACCTTCATGACCTATTCCTTTTAGTGTTCACAAACCTCATAATCTCTGAAAATAGTTAATTTTAGGACTGAGCATTTACAAGGTATGCAGGTAAACTGGAAGTGTTTTTACTCACCTGAGGTATTTCTTGTAAATTACAATAAGCTCCTGAGGATCCAACTCCTATTTAGGGCATAAAGCCTCTGTTCACCATTGACCTTAGTCACAAATCAATTCTCAGAGCTGATTTCCAGTAAGGGGCTAAAAATGATTCTCTGAGCAGGATTCCGCTATTCCCCAAAATTCCAGGACACTCCTAGATTGCTCTGTGAGATTAGTGCTTGTGTCTCCTCCATCCCAGCTATGTCCAAAAGGCCCAGATGGGTGGGGGAATAGGGAGATACTTGGCACCCCCCTCTAGATCAAATTAAATATAAAATGTACTACATGGCAGGCAGGTATGGAATAAAACTCATCTATATCTTGCTACAGTGCTACCCAGTGTTACACCTGAGAATTGCCTGTTTCATTCAGTAGGGGTTACGTGGATGTAACTGAGAGCAGAATTTGACCCTATGCAAATAACATTTGAAAAAGATATCAACTATCGTGCTATCAAATGTTGCTAAGAATGAAGTTAAAAGCTGTGTATATAGGCATTTATACTGTGCTCATCATTGTGGTATCTCTTCCATTGACGTAGCCAGAACTGATTTAAACTTTCGTGTGACCTCTTAAAAATGAAAAAACCCAAATCATATTCCAGGAGAAAAGATTTGTGCAGCTGAAACAACACCCTCCACGTCTGTTAAGATAGAATTAAGAATTAAATATCTCTTAAAGATGTAATTACGGATGTATACTGAGACGCTGGTAATTAGTGACAATGGTCAATGATGGGATATTAAAAGTTACTACAGAGAACTTTTTCCGGAGGGTCTGGGTGGAGAATCTTGCCCGCATGCTCGGGGTTCAGCTGATCGCCATATTTGGGGTTGGGAAGGAATTTTCCTCCAGGGTAGATTGACAGAGGCCCTGGAGGTTTTTTGCCTTCCTCCGCAGCATGGGGTAGGGGTCGCTTGCTGGGCATGGGTCACTTGCTGGAGGATTCTCTGCGACTTGAAGTCTTTAAATCATGATTTGGGGACTTCAACAGCTGAGTCAAGGGAGAGAATTATTCCAGGAGTGGGTGGGTCAGCTTTTGTGGCCTGAATCATGTGGGAGGTCAGACTAGATGATCATAATGGTCCCTTCTGACCTTAAAGTCTATGAGTCTATGAAAACAACAAAAAGTATATCCATTTC